GCTCACTGCAAGCTCTGCCTCCCTGGTTCACACCATTCTCCTGCCTCAGCCTCCCAAGTAGCTGGGACTACAGGCACCCACCACCATGCCCAGCTAATTTTTTGTATTTTTAGTAGAGACGGGGTTTCACCGTGTTAGCTAGGATGGTGTCGATCTCCTGACCTCGTGATCTGCCCACCTCGGCCTCCCAAAGTTCTGGGATTACAGGCGTGAGCCACTGCACCCAGCCCTGGCCAGCATTCTTTATACATGCTAGATACAGGTCCCTTAACAGATATATGATATGATATATGATTTACAAATATTTTCTCCATTCTGTGGGTTGTCTTTTCATTTTCTTGATAATATCCTTCAATGCACAAAAATTCTTTATTTTTTTTTTTTTTTTGTGATGGAGTCTCGCTCTGTCGCCCAGGCTGGAGTGCAGTGGCAATGTCTCGGCTCACTGCAACCTCCACCTCCCGGGTTCAAGTGATTCTCCTGCCTCAGCCTCCCAAGTAGCTGGGACTACAGGCGCACGCCACCATACCCAGCTAAATTTTGTATTTTTAGTAGAGACAGGATTTCACCATGTTGGCCAGGATGGTCTCAATCTCTTGACTTTATGATCCACCCACCTTGGCCTCCCAAAGTGCTGGGATTACAGGCGTGAGCCACTGCGCCCGGCCTACACAAAAATTCTTAATTTTGAGAAAGTCCAATTTATCCTTTTTTTTTCTTTCATTGCTTATGTTTTTGGTGTCATATGAAATAAGTTATTGCAAAATGCCACAACTTAATTTTAGAACATTTCTATCACCCCCCCAAAATTCCCTACATTGATTCTCTAATCCCACCCCAGACCAATGATCTGTTTTCGGTCTTTTATTTATTTATTTATTTATTTATTTAGAGATGGAGTTTCACTCTGTTGCCCAGGCTGGAGTGCAGTGGCATGATTTCTGCTCACTGCAGCCTCTGCCTCCTGGGTTCAAGTGGTTCTCCTGCCTCAGCCTCCCAAGTAGCTGGGACTATAGGCACATGCCACCACGTCTGGCTATTTTTTGTATTTTTAGTGGACATGGGGTTTCACAATGTTAGCCAGGCTGGTTTCCTGCCCTCAGGTGATCCGCCCGCCTCAGTCTCCCAAAGTGCTGGGATTATAGGCATGAGCCACTACGCCTGGCCTGTTTTCAGTCTTTTTTTTTTTTTTTTTCCCTTTTTTTTTGAGACAGAGTCTCTGTTGCCCAGGCTGGAGTGCAGTGGCGCGATCTCGGCTCACTGCAACCTCTGCCTCCCAGGTTCAAGGGATTCTCCTGCCTCGGCCTCCCGAGTAGCTGGGATTACAGGTGCACCATGCCCAGCTAATTTTTGTATTTTTAGTAGAGACGAGGTTTCACCATGTTGGTCAGGATGGTCTCAATGTCTTGACATCGTGATCCGCCCACCCTGGCCTCCCAAAAAGCTAGGATTACAGGCATAAGCCACAGCACCCGGCCTATTTTCAGTCTTTATAAGTTTGTAATCCCAGCATTTTGGAAGGCTGAGGCCAGTGGATTGCCTGAGCTCAGGAGTTCAAGACCAGCCTGGGCAACGAGGTGAAACCCCGTATCTACTAAAACACAAAAAAATTAGCTGGGCGTGGTGGTATGCGCCTGTGATCCCAGTTACTTGGGAGGCTGAGGCAGGAGAATTGCTTGAACCCAGGAGGCAGAGGTTTCAGTGAGCTGAGATCATGCCACTGCACTCCAGCCTGAGCAACAGAGCGAGACTCCGTCTAAAAAAAAAAAAAAGTTTGTTGGTGCACTGTTTTGCCCCTTTTTATTGCTAAATCATTGGCTTTGACCAACTGATGGACATTTTGATTGTTTTCAGTTTTTAGCTATTATGAACATTTTTAGCTACAATGAATATTTGCAACAAATCTCAGTGTGGACGTATGTTTTCATTTCTCTTGGGAGTATTCTTTGGAGTGGAATTGCTGGGTCTTATGGTAAATTTATGATTGACTTTTTTTTTTTTTTTTTTTTTTTTTTTTTGAGATGGAGTCTCGCTCTGTCACCCAGGCTGGAGGGCAGCGATGGGGTCTTGGCTCACTGCAAGCTCTGCTTCCCAGGTTCATGGCATTCTCCTGCCTCAGCCTCCCGAGTAGCTGGGACTACAGGTGCATGCCACCATGCCTGGCTATTTTTTTGTATTTTTAGTAGAGCCAGGGTTTCACCGTGTGTTAGCCAGGATGGTTTCGATAACCTAACCTCGTGATCCACCTGCCTTGGCCTCCCAAAGTGCTGGGATTACAGTCATGAGCCACCATGCCCAGCCTATGATTAACTTTTTAAGAAACTGCCAAACTTTTCCAAAGTGAGTGTACTATTTTATATTCCCACCAGCAGTGTATGAGTGTTCCTTATACACATCCTCACCAACACTTGGTGTAATCTGTTTTTATTGTAGTCATTTTATGTACGTATGTGTGTAGTGTTTTTATTTTTATTTTTATTTACTTATTTTTGAGACAGAGTCTCACTCTGTCACCCAGGCTGGAGTGTAGTGGCACGGTCTCAGCTCACTGCAACCTCTGTTTCCCAGATTCAAGTGATTCTCGTGCCTCAGCCTCCCGAGTAGCTGGGATTACAGGTGTCTGCCACCATGCCCAGCTAATTTTTTGCATTTTCAGTAGAGACAGGGTTTTGCCCTATTGGCTTGGCTGGTCTCAAACTCCTGGCCTCAAGTGATCCACCTGCCTCAGCCTCCCAAAGTGCTGGAATTAAAGGTGTAAGCCACCACGCCCAGCTGTGTATAGCGGTTTTTTGTTTTTTGAGATGAAGTCTCGCAGTGTCGCCCAGGCTAGAGTACAGTGGCGTGATCTCAGCTTACTGCAACCTCCACCTTCCGGGTTCAAGCCATTCTCTTGCCTCAGCTTCCCAAGTAGCTGGGATTACAGGCATGCGCCACCATGCCGGGCTAATTTTTGTATTTTTAGTAGAGATGGGGTTTCACCATGTTGGCCATGCTGGCCTCCAACTCCTGACCTCAAGTGATCCACCCACCTCGGCCTCCCAAAGGGCTGGGATTACAGGTGTAACATGGCCCGGCCCTGGCCATGTTTTTAACTGCCTTTCTCTAATAGCTAATAATGCTGAGCATCTTTTTATGTGTTTCTTAGCCATTAGTGTATCTTTTTTGGTAAAATGTCTGGGTTTTTTTTTTGGTCCATCTTAAAATTGTTTTTAGTTTTGTTTTGAGAGAGGTTCTCACTTTGTTGCCCAGGCTAGAGTGCAGTAGCACAATCATGGCTCACTGCAGCTTCGACCTCCCTGGGCTCAGGTGATCCTCCCACCTCAGTCTCCTGAGTAGATGGGACTATAGGCATGTGTCACCATGCCCAGCTAATTTTTGTATTTTTTTGTAGAGGTGGGGTTTTGCTATGTTGCCCAGGCTGGTCTTGAACTTCTGAGGCTCAGATGATCCACATCAGCCTCCCAAAGTGCTGGGATAACAGGCGTGAACCACCACACCCAGCTAAAATTGTTTTAAAAATCTTTTTCTTGAGTTTTGAGAGTTTTTATGTGTTAGGGATACCAGTCCCTTATGAGGTATATAATTAGCAAGTAGTTTCTCCCAGTCTGTGACTGTGACCTTTCTTTTTTTGAGGCAGGGTCTCACTCTGTTACTTAGGCTGGAGTGCAGTGGTGTGATCATGGTTCACTGCAACCTGGAACTCCTAGGCTCAAGGGCTTCTCCCACCTCAGCCTCCCAAGTAGCTGGGTCTACAGGTGTGTTATTGTGCCAGGGTTAATGTTTTGCATTTTTTGTAGAGATAATGTCTCTACAAAAGACACCATCTTTGTTGCTGAATTCCTGGCTTCAAGGAATCCTCCAGCCTCAGCCTCCCAAAGTGCTGAGATTACAGCATGAGCCACATCCAGCCTATGACTTTTCTTTTCTTTTCTTTTTTTTTTTTTTTTTAGACGGAGTCTCACTCTGTCGCCCAGGCTGGAGTGCAGTGGCGCGATCTCCACTCACTGCAAGCCCTGCCTCCCAGGTTCACGCCATTCTCCTGCCTCAGCCTCCCGAGTAGCCAGGACTACAGGCGCCCGCCACCGCATCTGGCTAATTTTTGTATTTTTAGTAGAGACGGGGTTTCACCGTGTTAGCCAGGATGGTCTCGATCTCCTGACCTCGTGATCCGCCCGTCTCGGCCTCCCAAAGTGCTGGGATTACAGGCGTGAGCCACCGCGCCCCACCAACTTTTCTTAATGATACCTTTGTAGTAAAAGAGTTTTTAATTTTAATAAAGTTAACTTTTTTGTTTCATTGTTCAAGCTTCTAGTGCTGTGTCTTAAGAACTCGTTGCCATAAAGCTGTTCTCTTACCTTTTTTTTTGAGATGGAGTCTCACTGTGTCACCCATGTTGGAGTGCAATGGCACGATCTCGGCTGACTGCAACCTCTACCACCTTGGTTCAAACGATTCTTCCGCCTCAGCCTCCTAGGTAGCTGGGATTACAGGCGCACGAACCACGCCCGGCTAATTTTTGTATTTTTGTGAAGACGGTTTCACCATGTTGGCTTGGCTGGTTTACGTTTTCTTTTAGAAGTTTTATATTTTTGGCTCTTATATTTAGTTTGTGATCCATTGAGTTGATGTTATGTATGTATGTATGGTAGCGTTCTTTCCTGTCTTCTTTCTTTTTGCATATGAATATTCAATTCTAGCTCCATTTAATTTGAAAGGATTGGGCAGGTACCTTTGAGCAGTGCAAGTACAGAGCGGCACTTCCAGCAGTCAGACTACACGCGGTAGAGAGCCGACCGTGGTGAGCATGTTGGTGCTCGACAGTGAGCAGAGAAACGATGGACGATTACGGAGCGCGCTCGTCTCCAGTCACCGTTTTCTGGAAACACCGTCCGCCAGGGCTGGGCTGTTCCACGCTGGGGGCGGCGGTGGGGGGTTGTTCCACGCCGGGGCGGGGCTCTTCCACGCCGGGGCGGGGCTCTTCCACGCCGGGGCGGTACTACGACTCCCAGCATGCACCTCGCGGCCGGCCCTCAGTGGAAGCGGGAACCCAGGCGGACCTGGGAGTGTGGCAGCGAGGAAGGGGCAAGCCACGGACTGTGGAGCCGAGACTCGCTCCCGCCACCCTTTCTCGAGGCTGTGGCCTCCGCGAGGGCCGAGCGGGCCGCACCGCCGGCCGTGCGACTGCCCCAGACACGGTCCCCGCTTCTAGCCCGCCTAAGCCTACCTGTCGGGGGTTGCTGACTCGTTTCCTCCCCAAGTTTCCCGCGGGAACTAACGCTTGAAGAGGACCAACCGCAGCCCAGAGCTTCGCAGACCCTGCCAACCACAGGCGAGGTTGAGAGCCGGGCGGGCCGCGCTGAGAGAGCGTCCCATCTGTCCTGGAAAGCCTGGGCGGGTGAATTGGGACCCCGAGGGAAGCAGAGGAGTTCGGCGGGGTGCGGAAGTGCCCAGGCCCCTCCCCGCTGGGGTTGAGAGCTTGGGCGTGCCAGCTTCACCCTTCCCAAGTTCGCTTCAGGTGTCTGGGCCCAGCCTCGGCCACCATGTCCCGCCAGACCACCTCTGTGGGCTCCAGCTGCCTGGACCTGTGGAGGGAAAAGAATGACCGGCTCGTTCGACAGGCCAAGGTAACACGGTTGGTGGCACCCTCGGTTTGCAGCCCCAAGATCCCTGAAAGCGGGTTTGCAGTGGATTTACCCCAACCGATGGGGAGGGGCTGAGCTTGACCAAAGAGCCAGAAATGACTGGAGAATGCATCCCTTGCCACTGCTGCAAGGGGAGAAAAAAGGATTGATCCTCAATGACAACCCCTCCCTCATGTGGCAGGTGGCTCAGAACTCCGGTCTGACTCTGAGGCGACAGCAGTTGGCTCAGGATGCACTGGAAGGGCTCAGAGGGCTCCTCCATAGTCTGCAAGGTAAGCAGGTCCTCCCCTTACCTGCTTACCTTGCAGACTATGGAGGTCAGGTAAGCAGGTAAGGGGAGTTCCCCTCCTCCATAGCCAGAGACTCATCTGCTCCTGCATTTCTGGCATCGACAAAATTACTTAGGGGGCAGGGAGTCCTGTTTAAGGCACAGAGGGGGCTGGAGTGAATCATCTTTGTACAGGCAAATCCCTCTCTTCCTTACGCACAGAGTGGCATTTGAAAAATGATTTCCAGGATGGTCTGATCTGGATAACTTTTTTGCACTTTCCAGACTCTCTGTCCAAAGGTTGGGTTCTTTTTTTTAATCCTTAGCTAATCGGCTGGAGGGTGGGTTCTTTATTTTGGCCATTTTTGGTTGGAGGGGGGTGATCTCTGTGTTGGTATCTTATTTGGAGGATCTTCCATGGGGGAGCAGTCTGTAAGACCAACTTTGTTGCTCCAGGGCTCCCTGCCGCAGTTCCTGTTCTTCCCTTGGAGCTGACTGTCATCTGCAACTTCATTATCCTGAGGGCAAGCTTGGCCCAGGGTTTCACAGAGGATCAGGCCCAGGATATCCAGCGGGGCCTAGAGAGAGGTGAGGGCCAGAGATTGTTCCCAATTCCCCTGCCAGCTTCAGTCTGGGTTTAAGTTATTGCAGGGGGATGGGAGGATCAACAACATCTGTCACCTCCATGGAGAGAGGTGCCCTTCTCTGTGCTCCTCAGACCAGGTTGAGGTATTATTGTGACCTTTGGGGTCCTGCAGGAGAGGAAAGCCAGAGTGTGTGGGGAGACGGAGGATGAGGTCCTACCTCAGCTGTGTGTGTGTCTGTGTGTGTGTGTATACTCTACAGTGCTGGAGACACAGGAGCAGCGGGGGCCCAGGTTGGAACAGGGGCTCAGGGAGCTGTGGGACTCTGCCCTTCGTGCTTCCTGCCTTCTGCCAGAGCTGCTGTCTGCCCTGCACCGCCTGGCTGGCCTGCAGGCTGCCCTCTGGTTGAGCGCTGACCGTCTTGGGGACTTGGCCTTGTTGCTAGAGACCCTGAATGACAGCCAGGTAATAGGGAAAGTGACCTGAAGCTGAGGGTCTCCTCCTTCCTTCCTCCTCCTTTCTCTCCAGCTGCAGTAGCATCATCATGTACCGGACAGGCGGCTGGGTTGGTGGTCAGAAAATCTGGATTATCTCTGGGACTCTTGGGTGACCTTGCCCTGGTTGGTCTCTCATTGTGGGGATTCTCTTAGGAGTGTTTTTTAAAAATGGGTCAGGCATGGTGGCTCATACCTGTAATCTCAACACTTCAGGAGGCTGAGGTAGGAGGATCACTTGAACCCAAGAGGTGGAGGCAACAGTGAACTGTGAGCTATGATCACGCCACGGCACTCCAGCCCTCTAGCCTGGGTGACAGAGGGAGACCCTGTCTCAAAAAAAATAAAATTTTTTTGGGGGGATAGGGATAGGGCTCTAGTGATCTTGCTGAAGTCACCTCTCAGCCTTAGTCTCCTTACTGGTAACTCAAATATGGTCCTTGCCCTGAGTGAGGAGCCATGCTAGAACAGATCATCACTGCCCCAGGTTTTTCTTTCTTTTTTAAATCCTTGCCTCATAGCTGTCTATCTCTTAGAATTGGGGGAAACCACAGGCATTATGCATACCTTCTTGCTTTGTAAGGGGAGCTGAGGCCTGTGTCCTCAAGGATCAAGAGGACCCTTGAGCTCAAGGTCTAGCCATGATGGGGATAGGAGAAGACAGGGAGGTTGTAGGCTTGGAACTTCTGGTTGTCCTTCTTTCCCCAGAGTGGAGCCTCTGAGGATCTGCTGTTACTTCTGAAAACTTGGAGTCCTCCAGCTGAGGAATTAGATGCTCCGTTGACCCTGCAGGATGCCCAGGGATTGAAGGATGTCCTCCTGACAGCATTTGCCTACCGCCGAGGTCAGCTAGCAACCTGACTCATCTCTTCCTCTCTTAAGTGGTCCTCCAGACTCATGCCCTCTCTCGTATCATTCAGTTCCACGGGCTTCTTAGACCCTTGTCCCCCATCATGACCCCTGCTCTATAGGCCTCTCCAAGCTCACACCCTGATTGTCCTCAGGTCTCCAGGAGTTGATCACAGGGAACCCAGAGAAGGCACTAAGCAGCCTTCATGAAGTGGCCTCAGGCCTGTGTCCACGGCCTGTGTTGGTCCAGGTGTACACAGCACTGGGGTCCTGTCACCGTAAGATGGTAAAGACAGTCCTAGGGTGGATTGGGGAAACCACAACCATTATATATAGCTTTTTGCTTTGTAAGGGTAGCTGAGGCCTGTGTCCTCCTATCCCTCTAGGGAAATCCACAGAGAGCACTGTTGTACTTGGTTGCAGCCCTGAAAGAGGGATCAGCCTGGGGTCCTCCGCTTCTGGAGGCCTCTAGACTCTATCAGCAACTGGGGGACACAACAGCAGAGCTGGAAAGTCTGGAGCTGCTAGTTGAGGTAGGGAATTGCCAGATGAAGATATAGGGTGGAGAATTCCTGAGGTGCTTGTGTTGGGGTAACTTGATTAGTCAAGATCCAAGTATAAGGAAGTATGGTTCCCAAAGATTATAGATACAATTTTTTTCTTTCTCTTTTAGGCCTTAAATGTCCCTTACAGTTCCAAAGCCCCACCGTTTCTCATTGAGGTAGAATTACTACTGCCACCACCTGACCTAGCCTCACCCCTTCATTGTGGCACTCAGAGCCAGGCCAAGCACGTACTAGCAAGCAGGTGCCTACAGACGGGGAGGTGAGGTTCCCCTTGCTCACCTGAGCTTCTCTTCCCACTTCTGATGCCTCCCCTGGGGTGTGACTCTGCTTTTGTTTTTGTGACTTGGGGGATGAATGAGGCAGTGGGAGGACATAGGTCACCACTACTCAGCCTCCTACCTTGCTTCTAGACCTGAACTGAGGACTCTTCACTAAGACATTAACCCCCACTATCTTTGACACTCTGAAGTCTCTTCCCCAGTCAATTCTGTAACAGGTAGATCTATACTGAGCCAGAATTGGAGCCCTAAGACCTTCCCTTCCCCTCTCCTCCTCAGGGCCCATGAGCATCCCTCTGTTAGCTAAGAGAGAACATTCTCAGGACCCTTGCAGGGCCCTGCTAGGGCCTAGGATGAGGCTTATGGGCTCTTACTCCTTAGGGCAGAAGACGCTGCAGAGCATTACTTGGACCTGCTGGCCCTGTTGCTGGATAGCTCGGAGCCAAGGGTGAGTGTGTCTTCAAGCTTCTCTGCAGTGGGGTAGAAGGGTTGGTGTCCCCTTTGGAATAGAGGGGGATTTTGTTTTTCCCTCTTTTTTTTTTTTTTGCAATTTTTTGTTTTTCCCTCTTTTCTGTCTGTCCAGTCTGGGGGCCCAGGACTCTGCATAGTACCAGAGCCTGGTGAAGAGGTTGGGGATGGTGGCTTATGCCTTTGAAGACACTGCCTCTTCTTCCCACTCCAGTTCTCCCCGCCCCCCTCCCCTCCAGGGCCCTGTATGCCTGAGGTGTTTTTGGAAGCAGCGGTAGCACTGATCCAGGCAGGCAGAGCCCAAGATGCCTTGACTCTATGTGAGGAGTTGCTCAGCCGCACATCGTCTCTGCTACCCAAGATGTCCCGGCTGTGGGAAAATGCCAGAAAAGGAACCAAGGAACTGCCATACTGCCCACTCTGGGTCTCTGCCACCCACCTGCTTCAGGGCCAGGCCTGGGTACAACTGGGTGCCCAAAAAGTGGCAATTAGTGAATTTAGCAGGTGAGCCTGGGGTCCTAGAAGGGATGTGGAGGGATGATTTTCTGATTGGGACCTGAGTTGGTGAGCTCCATGTTCACCTACTCACCCTAGAGTTTCTGAAATTGATTCCTCTTCACCCCTGTTCCGTGTCCTACTTCAGGTGTCTTGAGCTGCTCTTCCGGACCACACCTGAGGAAAAAGAACAAGGTGATCTAGACTTTCAGTTTTCCTCTTACCTCCTGGAAGTGGTAGTGGTGGAAGTGGGTTCGCTTTAAGGTGTCCCAGCCCACCAGGAGACTTAAGAGAAAGGGACTGTGGACACAAGAAGAAATAGAGGAGGATTTAGGGTTTTGGTGACTGAGGCTGGGAAGACACTTCTTGATTTTGGGAGTGGTCCCCAGGGGCAGCTTCCAACGGTGAGCAGGGATGTAAGTCAGATGTGGCACTGCAGCAGCTTCGGGCAGCCGCCCTAATTAGTCGTGGACTGGAATGGGTAGCCAGCGGCCAGGATACCAAAGCCTTACAGGACTTCCTCCTCGGTGTGCAGATGTGCCCAGGTACGTATACTTGCATGACATCAGCTATGCGTAGATGTGCAAGGACAGAGAAGCCCATGGGAAATACTTGGGCATAAGTGTACGAGTGATGTTCTCAGACAGGAGGGGTGATTTGATATATCCAGGTGTTCAAACATACACTGTATATGCAGGGCTCCCAAGAGTTCCCTGGTTTCCCCAATATCCTCAGACACAAAGACCATGACTCTGCTGGGGTGGGTTGCACAGAAGTAGGGGGCAGATGATGGACACTGGGATGGGAATGGTTGTGAATGATCTGCCCCTGCTTCTATATGTGAGTGTAGGCAAGATACTTCCTCTCTCTAGGCCTCAGTTTCCCTTTTTATAAAACAATGCCTAAGATTATGTTAAGTTCTAAGATTCTGTACTGTGGGCTGGGGCTACAGGTAATCGAGACACTTACTTTCACCTGCTTCAGACTCTGAAGAGGCTAGATCGGAGGGATGAGGCCACTGCACTCTGGTGGAGGCTGGAGGCCCAAACTAAGGGGCCACAGGAAGATGCTACGTGGTGAGGCTCAGGCCTGCTGGCTTGGGGCTGAGGGGCAGTTGATGTCCTAGAGTCCTTGGACCTATTGTGGGTGGTGAACACTGAAAGAGGGGGCATGGCTGCCCAGCTTTCTGCCAATGTTTCACCCTTAGGCATCATCCTTCTTGCTCTCCAGGTCTCTCCCCCTGTACCTAGAAAGCTATTTGAGCTGGATCCGCCCCTCTGATCGTGATGCTTTCCTTGAAGAGTTTCGGACATCTCTGCCAAAGTCTTGTGACCTGTAGCTGCCACGTTTCCAAGAACTTGAGCTGGGGCCCCATTGGGCTGTCTCTCTGTGGGGAGGGCTTTCTGCTTCACCATCGTTAGGAATGTGACCATTCCTATATAATTCCTGAACTGGTGAGGTTGGTGGTAGGCCTGTGAAATTTGCCCTAATTACTACCATTCTGGTTTTGGAGGAAATAATCTCTGCCACCACCAAGTCATTGGCTTCGCTCGAGGCACCTTTCTTCCTGTTTCCCCTTTTCTTTTGTCGAGTAAAATTTCATATTTATCTCTTGTCTGCCTACTACATATACTTGGGTGGGAAGGCTCATGACCGTCTAGGTCAGTGCTAGTTGTCTATGATGCCCTTTCCTGACATCGTCTACCTTACAAACTTGAAGCCTGGGTATGAGGAAAGGGCTACAATAATCCTTACTTAGGAGGCAGTGGCTTTAGTCCTTCACATTGCCTAAATGCAGAGCCCCAAAGCCCAGGACAGTGACAATGAGTTGGGTCTGAAGGGTGGTCTAGATAGGCTTCTCAGTACAAGAGCAGGTAGCTGATAGTTAGAGACAGGCAGATTTCTCTCAGAGTGACTCTCATTCCCTTCCTAATTCCAAATTCTAGAAATTGGACTCATCTCAGTCAAATGTGTCTCTGTGGCTAGAAGGTGAAAGGTGAATTGAGTTGGCATACCACCAACAGCTGCCTGTTGACTGCAAACAGGGACCCCTGTTATTTGGGGCTTAAGGATTTTCAAGTCCCAACATACGCAGTTTTCTTGCTAATTTGGGTTCTACTGAATTGGCTGTGTGTTCTGTGGTTGTCCTTTGACTTCTCTGGATTTGAGTGCCTTATTATAATGTATTAACATTAACGACGGGAGGAAGAAAGGCACAAGCGCTGAGAAACTGCAAAGGTATGGGATTGGGGTTACCAGAGGGTGCAATGACAATGGGGTAGGAGTGGGGTGCTAGTCAGAAAGTTCAGAGTAGGGGTGGTTGGAGGCAGCGTTGGAAAGGAGCAAGAAGGGTCAGGGTGGTGATGGCATCTTAGAGGATCCCCAGGTTTTGGGAAAAGATGGATGTATAGGTTACCACAACTGGACTAGACTAATACAAGGGTTCAGTCTATTGTGCCACGTTCTTCTAGGAGGATAAACTCCGGAGCCAATGAACTGGAGCCAAGTGGGAGAGTCCGCCTCTAAGGGATTAAAGGGTCTCCTTTCACAAGTCGATCTCGCCCTATTCCTTTCGTTGATTGGCTGAGAATTCCAATCCGTCGAGGAAGCGTAGCGTTGCAGCCAATTGACGTGGCGTTACTAGGCGTGTCGCATCACTGAGGCGGGAGCCAGGCCGCAAGCGAATTTCCTGATTGGTTGCGGTCTGCGGGTTGCTGGGGAGAGGCACGGAGAGGCGGGCGAGAGTCCGCAGGGCAGATGCTGATTGGCTGAGGTGGGAGCAGCTTCCCTTCCGATGATTCGGCTCTTCTCGGCTCAGTCTCAGCGAAGCGTCTGCGGCCGTCGTTTGAGTCGTCGCTGCCGGTGCCACTGCCACCTCGCGGATCAGGAGCCAGCGTTGTTCGCCTGACGCCTCGCTGCCGGTGGGAGGAAGCGAGAGGGAAGCCGCTTGCGGGTTTGTCGCCGCTGCTTGCCCACCGCCTGGGAGAGCCGAGCCCCGGCCCAGTCGGTCGCTTGCCACCGCTCGTAGCCGTTACCCGCGGGCCGCCACAGCCGCCGGCCGGGAGAGGCGCGCGCCATGGCTTCTGGAGCCGAGTGAGTGTGCGCGCGCCGTCCGCTTGCTGCGGCGGCGCGCGCCGGGACCCGCGGCGCTGGGTAGGCCCGGCGGGGCCTGGCCGTGGGCGCGTCAGAGAGGTGGAGACCAGGAAAGAGGGAAGGGGAAGGGGAACTAGGGAGCGAGTGAGGGGCCGTGGACCCGGCAGGCCCGGCTGGGCCAGCTGCGCACCCGCGCGCCCCCTAGGCGGGGCTTGCGCTGGGCCCGGGTCGGAGCCTGGGGCCGGATCGTGCTGTGTCATGCAGGCCCCGGCCCGCCCGATTGGCTCCCTTGGAATGGCCGTCCGGGCCTGACGAGGTCTTCCGGCCCACACCGCCGGCGCGGAACCCCGGGGCCTTGGGGCGCCAGTCTGCCGTCCGGCCTACCACCCGCCGAAGGCCTTTGGTCCCTGGAGAGAGCAGGCCCCACGAGCCCGAGGCCCCAACCCGGCCCGGTGGGCGTGGACTTTGCGCCATGTGAAGGCCTCAGGAGCCCTGCCACCGAGGCGGAGGCCGGGGTCGGGGAAGGCCGGGCGAGCTCAGGGAAGCTCACAGCCGCCTTTTTGGAGCCGGGTCGGCCGGTACAAGGTGGGCATCCTCTGTGTGTGATCTGAGTAGTGAGGGACTGTTAGGGAGAGGGCGAGCCCTACCTTTCGCTTCTGGTGTTCTTACTTTAGGCCTGTTGTTCATATTAGAAAGTTTGAGCCAGTTTTCCTTAATGTTATGATTCGTGGGTGGGGAGAAAAGAATTTTTCTTTAACGTTTTAGGTTCTTGGTAAAGTTGGAATCTCAGTTCGTGTTTTGTGCGCCTTTCCATATTTCCAGCTTTCGTGGTGTGCAGTTTAGAGTTGCACTAACTTCTCAAAAACAAACGTGCGCGCACCGCTTTACCCAGGTAGCTGTATTGAGAAATTATCCGGGCTATGGGGCTTTCTGACACCACCTCCATCCTTCAAGAAAGCGTCAGATAAAACTTGGCTACCTACCTCAGCCCATTCAATTTAGAATAGAGCTTTTAGAGGCTGAAAAAAAAAAAAAAAAAAACAGCCAGCCCAAGGAAACTCTTCTGTGCAAATTACCTTCCTTCCTTGAAGAGAGTAGTTTTTTGAGGTGTGTTCCTTTTTCTCAAGTTTCTGAATTGGGATAAAGTATTACTCAGTTGCTTATTTAAAAGAGTCACTTACTCTGAAAGTGTTCTTTTGGTTTATATGCAGTCAGCCTTTTATTTTCAAAAGTAAAAATCTAAAATTTTTGGAACCTGGAATCATCAGCTGTTTCTAACTTCTTGGTCACCTTGATGACTCTTAGCTGAACCCCCTCCAAGTCCCTTGGAGTCCCCTGTGCAGTTCTGGAAAGGGATTGACTCATACAGAAGACAGTGGAGAATGGCCCCAAAGAGTGTCCAGAACTGCTGTTGGCCCATGGTCAGGCTGAATTCACTCTTTTAGAGATTAACACCTCTGATCTCACTAGATAGATGGGGAATTAGAGGCTTTACCTTAAGAAAAGGGCATACCACTCATCTCCACAGCCAGAGTCCTGGCTATCGCCATCCTACCGGGATGGTAGGCAGAATGGAGGTTTTCCTAGGATGCAGCTTTGAGATTAAAATACAAACTGTTGGCTGGTCACAGTATCTCAGGCCTGTAATCCCAGCATTTTGGGAGGCCGAGGCAGGCAGATCACCTGAGGTCGGGAGTTCAAGACCAGCCCGGGCAACAAGGAGAAACCCCATCTCTATTAAAATGCAAAAATTAGCCAGGCGTGGCGCACACCTGTAGTCCCAGCCACTCTGGAGGCTGAGGCAGGAGAATCACTCGAACCCAGGGAGGCAGAGGTTACAGTGAGGGAGATCGCACCACTGCACTCCAGCCTGGGCAACAGGGAGACTCCGTTTCAAAAAATAAAAAACTATGATGACTAGAGGCATCTGGCATTTTTTCTCCAGTCCCAGTTCTATAAGTCAAGCAAGAAGATGGCAACCCCTGAAAGAGTATTTTGATGGGACAGGAGTGGGAGAGCTCATGGGTTTACATTGCTCTCAGCTGTCGCATTGAGCATGCTTGGCCTCCAGTGTGTTGATAAGCATTGGGAAAGTCTGCCTACTCAGCAGCATCGTGCCTAGAGTGGCACACTTTTGGAATGGGGGAAGCAAATTTGAGCAGAGGAAACTGTCATTAGAAACTGTCATTAGAAACTAGTTTAGAGGCAGTGGTTAAAAATGCAGCCTATGTGTGAGGGTTAGCAGAAGGCCTACCATTTTGTTCGATGAATGGGGTTTGTTTTTCTCTTGGGTGTATCAGGACCCAGAGATGTAAGAACCCCACAGCTTCCTAGCTGAGCACAGTGTCTTTTCTCTGTCTTTTGGAAATTGTGAGGATATTTCCAATGGGAATACTATTTTGTGTTGTTTTGTTGACTGCAGTATCCCCAGCCCTTAGAACAATGCCTGGCACATAATTGACACTCATGAATTTGTTGAATGAAGAAATTCCTTTTAAAAATTTATTTTCTTTGGCTTCCTTCATTGTCTAGCCTTCCTACTTTGGTTAATGCTTATGTTTTCCTGAGCCTTACTAACAGGAGGCAGCTCTTAAAAGAGAGAGAGAGTGCTGGGTACGGTGGCTCACGCCTGTAGTCCCAGCACTTTGGGAGGCCGAGGTGGGCAGATCACCTGAGGTCAGGAGTTCGAGACCAGCCTGACCAACATGGTGAAACCCCATCTCTAGTAAAAATGCAGAATTAGCTGGGCGTGGTGGCTCATGCCTGTAATCCCAGCTACTGGGAAGGCTGAGGCGGGAGAATCACTTGAACCTGGGAGGCGGAGCAGAGGTTGCAGTTAGCTGAGATCCCTTCATTGCATTCCAGCCTGTACAACAAGAGCGAAACTCCATCTCAAGAAAAAAAAAAAAAGAGAGAGAGAGAGAACTTGAGTCTACTAAGTGACAGCTGGAGATGGGCTAGGTAATAAGTTGGTGTCACTGTCTGGTGAATGACCCTGTCTTGTAGGAAATAACAAACTGAGTATAGACCCAGTCAACTTTGATTTGGATGAGAGGGATTTGTATTTGCACAGTGTTTCAGCATTTCTTGGTTTTGGTTTTTTGAGCCAACTTTATGGAATTGTGTGCTTTTGCAGAAATTACTGTGAAGTTCCTTTTGACCTTGAGCCTCTTTCTGGCAGTTTCGTGTTTGTTAGTGTTGTTTCCAAATATGATGGAAACCATATGATGATTTTTATGCTTGGCATTCCTTTGGTACTATGGAATGCCCTGGCATCAGTAGGTTTAGCCTATAAGGAGGGTAGCGCCAATAATTCTGCTTCATTGTCCCCAGGCTTGCTTGGTAGGACTTGAGAGCTCCCTGAGCCTCAAGGGAAATTGTCTGGCTTACTTCATTCCCTGGAAAGTTAGCTTATGCTTTATATTGTTAATCATGGTGACTGTTATTACCATGTGCCAGCTATTATGTTAAGCATTTTACATTCATTATCTCCCTTAAGACAATAAGCCTCTGAGGT